GTACTTTTAAACACCACACAGCTCCTGTTACTTCAGTAGAGTGGCACTGGACTGAGCCTAGTGTTCTGGCATCTGCTGGTGAAGACCATCAAGTTGCATTATGGGACTTGGCTGTTGAGAGAGATGACGACGACATTGTCGATGAAGAATTGAAGGTAAGAGTCGGAAGTTAGAAGATCTTCACCACTTATAAGTTTTTGTCGAATACGAATATTAGCAATTCAATACGCTACGCCTTTCTTTAATCTGCTATAATGTAAGAATTCCAATAAAAATGATCTATAAGAATTCTAATTTCCATACTATGATGTAAGCTCAAATAACACAATAAACATGCTTCCAGAACCTTCCACCCCAGTTGCTGTTTATCCATCAAGGACAGAGTGATATAAAGGAATTGCATTGGCATAAACAAATGCCAGGAGTTATGGTGACTACTGCGCACACAGGATTCAATATATTCAAGTCTATTAGTGTATAAAATAAAACTATGCAAATAATTATTGTCTCATTTAATAATTTGTTGCTACAATATCCTTACATGATTTAGATTGAGGATATAAAAATTATATAAATCAGGTATCAAGTCATATCTTTTGTATGGACCATGGCTAAATTCACTAGATGCCGAATTGTGGGTCTACCATGAGGACAATTCTGAAAAATAAAATTCCATTCTTAGTACATATTACAATACCTTTGCAGCTGGTGGGAGTGCATCAGTCGTAGTTCGATCTATCATTACTACTACAGTATGTCTATCCTTATACTACCATACAATTTTAAAGTAAAATGTATCTTACCCAAGGTTTGTCTATTTCGGCCATGTGATCAACAAGTTTCCTCATGTCTGCTTTGTTGAGAGCTGTTCCAATCATCACGGATTTCCGACAAGCACGTGATGCAAACATTGCTCTTACTCTGCTTGGTCTACAATACTCTGAAGGAGATTCCTGTAATTCATACAACAAATATTACTTGAAATTAATATTAGAACATCTAACAATGGTTTTAATCGGGAATAAGATAAATTCATACCCTCAACATAAATAAAAGCTCTTCTATATCTTCTTTTCCAAATATCCAGTTTTTAGACATGGGTAAGGTCAACAATTTAACTCTTTTCGTGGGTAAGGCTTCCTCATTGATTTCAAACGTAAAGCCATTCTTTTTGAATACATCTAAATTGTCCATTAGGATTTGTTCATTCACTCCTGTTAACTCAAGTGGTTGAGGTCTGAAATCAAACACATTATATGCGACATGTTAAGCTTAAAGGCTAAAGGCTGAACATGTATAAAACATAAAATAATACCTACATGACTAATTTTTGACTAGTAAGCTCGGTGGTCTTTTGTAATGTTTCAAAATTGTAAATCTCATCTGTAGCATGTTGGTCTATTATGAAAAGGTCATCTTCTAACCTAGTTATAATGAAACCCAAATTAAATTGGCCAATGATTCTCATACTTTTAAATGATTCCTTTGAGATTTCTTTACTCAATTCTTCTTCACATTTCTTGTTGAATATAGGATTAATCTCACTTTTGAATTTAATCCTTTTAGGGGTTGATTCATTTTTACTCTCAGCATACATATTTGCCAATATTTTCACATGTTCAAGGGATGTTTTTAAAGTTACAGTTCTCCTATTATTCTTTCCTAAGTCTTCTTGATCGGTTACAACTTTTTGCTTTTTAGGTGATTTCTCCTTTATATCACTTGAGACGTTAGCTTTTATTTTCAGTCCTTTCGTTTTACAGGTAATTGTATGTGACTTCTCTATCACAACATCTTTGAGATGTCTTATTTGTGTAGATGGTACATTTTCAAAATAATCTAAATACATCACATTTTCATTGGTTTTATTTTCTTCTAAAGATGAACTATTAGACTTCTGATCTGTGATATTTTCATTACTTGCACAGCTTGCTTCTGAAATCTGGTTCTTAGAACTTTCATTCTCTTCATCATCATCAGATTTTAAAATATCAAAAGAATTATTTATGCTATCTTCAATTAAGTCTTCCTTCAAAATTCCTTCTTTGACTTCTTCAGTCTTCTTTGTTTTTGAAGAAATAAAATCTAACATTGTTGTTGATTTTCTTTTAAGTTCTGATTTTGTAGATTCCTTGTCTACTGCAGATATCCTATCAGAAACTTGCTTTGTTTTATTTTTAAACTGATCTAAAAATGAATTGAATACTCTTGGCTGATCTAGATCAGGCTTAACATCATAGGATTCTTTAGGATACAAACTAAGCCCTGATTCAATCTTTACTGTTCTAGGAATATTCTCAAATAATTTCAATATAGAGTTTTTTAGAATGTCTAATATTATTTTCTCTTTAGTAAGAAACACTTTTCTCTTATCTGGCGTCACATTAACATCTACAGCTTCTCTTTCTAAGTTAACATTTAGGAACACAAAGGGGTATTGATTAGAGTTATACTGTCTGTATATTTCATTGATGATTTTTATGATTTTGGTTGGTTCACAGGGCCTGGAGTTAACAAAGTAAAACTGTCTATCAGTGCTTGATCTTCCACTACCATGCGCACAAGAGGAAATAAACCCAGTAAACTCAATTGGTTTGGCAACATTTTTGTAACCTTGAGATTTTTGTGAACCACTTAATTCTATTGTGACATCTGGTTTCTCAGCATCATTAGAGTCTTCAGATAAATCTATTTCAACATCTTCTAAGTCTACAGTTTCATCTGCAGTCTCTTTAACTTCTTGTGACAAGCCCTTGAAGATATTGTCCTTTATGTTTGTAACATATTCAGGTTTAATTTCAAGTAATGTTTGCAGTTGTTTCACTCCAAAAACACTGGCTATGTTGTCTTTATAGGATGTGGTTCCTTGTGTAGCTACTACTAAAGATTTTGCATTCGAGCTTGTTTGATTAGTACATGTGATCCTGAAAAAGACAGCAGTTTTAAAACATTGGTTTCAAACAAATTTCAAACATATGTCAGTAATTTTAAAACTTACTTTACTCCAACAGAAATGAGACAGTATGCATACAGCAACTGAGTCATCTTATTGAATTCTCTTTTGGCATTTTTATGAAATTCCTTTTGTCTAACAGGTAGTGATCTGAATAGATTTGTTAAACTGACTGTTGTACCAGTTTGTCTTGAACATGGTGTTTGCTTTGTGATATGACCTTTATGATCATATTCAATTTTAGTAGCTGCAAAGAAGATATATTGTGTAAGGAGTGAAATTCCAACCAATACAGAATATTTGTTAAGTATATGCATTAGTATACCATATTCAGCTGCCTTGTGCCTTGTTGTAATAGTAAGATTGGCTAACGAACATAGTGAACTCAGAGCTTCTCCTCTAAATCCAAAACTGGTCACACCAAGTAGATCAGAGTAGTCAGATAATTTGGAAGTATGGTATTTTAAAGCTGAAAAGTATAATTATGATTAACGAGGGGTAACGGACTATTTGGTTTAAGCGACATTTTGGGCGATATTGAGTTATATATATATTCGGAATCAGCGATTTTTTCTCCGTCGAATATATATAATAACTCAAAATCGCCCAAAATGTTGCTTAAACCAAATAGTCCGTTACCCCTCAATATTATGATGAAGCACATAAACATGCTAAATAACTTGAGATTTTATCATAATATGGCAAACCTATGTTTTATATATTTTTTAGTTCATTTAAAAATTTAATTAGTCTTTTGAACTGAAATGATAATTTAATTCCAATAACATTTTATCAGGTAATCTAATACAATTTAGATGGGAGTTATAGGGAGTTGGTTATTATTATTTCTTACTCAAAGCAGCAAAGTTGTCTTCAGTAACACCACTGCCATTGTCTGCTACTTCAATCAGGTCAATGCCATAATTTTTAAACCTTATATCTATATTGGTTGCTCCAGCGTCCAATGAGTTTTCTACCAGTTCTTTTACAGCCACTGCTAAACTAACAACTACCTATAAAGTTAACAAAGTAAATAGCAATTTATAAGTGTTGAAAACTTTACCTTCTTTCTAGGTATATTGCTCAATCTATAAATAAATATCTAGATATATAAATCGAATTCTTCTTTATAAATCAAAGTTTTAATGTGAACATTATAGAATATTATTGGCTATTAGTTAAATAGTATTTAAATCATTACTTCTGAGAAAGTATAAAATAATTTGTACCTGTCCAGAACATATTTTATGCACTGTGTCTTTAGATATAGCTTTAATATCGTTAATTTGATTTATGTTCGTATCCATGATTGCTTTAAATATAAATTCATAAAGATATTAAAATCTGTGATTTTTACAAAACTTTCCCGCTAAAGTTTTAAGAATTTTTCATTTGTTTACAAGTATCGTTGCGTTTATGCCGTCTTTGACATTACTGACTGACAACTGACACACTGAGTCTGACAGCTTGATAGATGAGATGACTACATACAAAGAGTATAATAAGTAGGTATAGGGGATACTACATACATACCACAATATATGGATTTCTCTCATACAGTGATGTGAAAAGTATAACGGTAGCCCTCAGGAAAGGGGGAACCTCGGGCGGACAGTTCCCGGCCAGCCCTAAAGAGGGTATAAGTCATGTATAAGTATATAAGGGTAGCCTATTAAATTAAACCATTCAGTTTGTATAGTGAATGTATAGATTTTTAACGTCAATTAGTAGTGTTAGTTATACCATTTCTAAATCGCAGAGAACCTAACGGGTTACCGGGGCTCCGGCTCGAAGCGCAGAAGAAACGAGGTGGTTTTAAGTCAGTAAAAGTCTGACACTCACTTAGACGGGAGTAGTCATTCGATAATTTTCCCTCCTTAAAAAACAAACATTTCTAACCACTGTTAACTTATTTCCTAGCACGCTCTTATTTTTTCTCAATGAAATCATCATGAAACTTTAATGAAAGTCATCAAAAATAAAACCGTTTGACAGCCCGGCCTTTTAGATTTATTTGATTTTATTATCTGTAATTTTTTACATCTTATCTGTCTGACTGTCTGTCACTGTCATTCGTAACTCAAAACACGAAATTTCACCACTTTTCGCATTCGCTGTTTATTTCATGTTTGTTGAAAGCGGTAGCTAAGTATTAATTACCAGTATTGTGCAAAACCTTTACAAAATACACTAGAAACCTTAACAAAATGTCTCTTAATACGGCACATGCCGATCACGGGGTGTTGATACATGCAGGAGAATGGTGAGTCATCTTTTTGGATACGAGTGACGACTGCGTATTTAGCTTTAGAATGTTCTACACTTGTGATGCTGTATTATTGATTTCTATACATAAATCCTTATTTGAGGATGTTTAAGTTGCCGTATCTTTGTACAATCTTCATGAATTCACTTAAAGTTTTGACTTTAGTTCATAGAAAAACCTGTAAGAATACTCTGTTGTCGAGACTATCTAGATTACTAGAATTAATTCAAGTTTTTATTACATTTAATGTCTTTTAAACATTTTAACATTCTTTACAGTCAACTGCACATTAAGGAAATTAATTTGAACTGAATGTTTCATTTTGTTATAAAGAAGATTATGATTAAAATGTTTAATGAACTCATTTAAATATGTAATTCAGGGTTAAAGAACTAATATTCTAATTAGTATTAACAGTATTTTTTACATTCACATTTGATTATTTGGTTATTAACTCGTCGAGTACCGGTTTTGCAGACACAATTATAGAACAATAGATTGCGGTCACCGGTGACCGCTTGGTATTTGACAGTTTAAAATTCTTAGAAATGTCTAACATCCTATCTTCTATTATAAAGAGCAAAGGGTAATACAAGAATTCAGGTTTTGGTACTATTTTGTTTTTTAATTTGCATTAAATATGGCGTCATGGTAATTAAGTTTAGGATAGAAGATTATGTCTTAACTCGTAGAGTACCGTCATTATAGACATAATTATAGCACAATAGGTTGCGGTCACCGGTGACCGCTTGGTGTTTGACAGTTTAAATTACTTGTTAGTTTCCTCCATTGCGTTGGAAATAAAAATATGAAAATGAATACTTAATTTTTTAAATAATACAAATTCGTAAAAAGACATGGTGATCTGTTGTTTTAGTTAATAAATAATTTAAATTTTGGATTAAGAATTTAAATTTATTAGTCTCATGAGTCTTAACTCCCTAGCCCTATTTCTACATCTTCAAGCTGTACAGATAATAAAGATTTATGATCCCTCCTAAATAATGGAAACATTATTGGTCAATATAACTAGGAATGTTTTCTGGTGTTGATTTAATACCACAAATATGTTTTTAATATGATTTAATAAAATAAAAAAATGTTTTGGTAGCCAATTGCAGCAACGCAATTGTAGAAACTAACAAGTTTTAGTAATATTAATGACTATGTATATAAGGTTAACAGGTGAGCATCCATAAAAAAGGGTATTTGGTCTACAATGGTAATTTATTTTCAGCATCATATTGTTCTCGGACAATGTCACAATTAATTTCTATGGAAATGATACAACTGAGTTCAGTGGAACCAAAGAAGGCCGTATATACTTGACAAGTCATCGCATGATTTTCAATTCAAAAAGCCGCTCTGAACCTCTGCGGTCATTCAGTTTTCCGTTTGTTACGTTGATGGATGTAAGTGATATTATTTTATTTAAATGATGTGTTTGTCTTTTAATGTACTTTGTCTTATGCAAAATATATTTTTACCAGGTTGCTATAGAACAGCCTATGTTCTCAGCAAACTACATTAAAGGGAAAGTTCATGCACAACCTAACGGAAACTTTATAGGTGAAGTAAAGTTCAAAATTGTGTTCAAGTCTGGAGGTGCTATTGAATTTGGACAAGCCATGCTGAAAGCCGCACATCTTGGTAAGACTTTAGTAACTCTAATATTTTTTATGGCATAAGCATTAAACGAGCAGATGGATCACCTGATGGAAAGCAATCGGCGCCGCCCATGGACACCCGAAACACTAAGGCCTAACAGTGCGTTACCGGTATTTTGGGATTTTTGGGAATTTGAGGATTGTGGAGGATTCGGGAATTGGGAAGACTGGGGAGGGGGTTAATTGGGCCTCCGGTAACCTTACTCACACGACGAAACATAAAGCAAGCGTTGTTTCACGTCGGTTTTCTGTGGGGCCGTGGTTACACTCCGGTCGAGCCGGCCCATTCGTGCCAATACATGGTTCTCCCACAATCTCATTAAAGATTCAGAAATTAAAATTGTATATATATTGTGTTTAATAAGCAATGTTTTGCTTTTCTACTCGACTTTTCGTATCTGGCTATGAAGTATGATATCAGTATGTGATATGATATCATTATTTAAACATTGTTATGGCTGATTCATTACGTTTTGTTGTTATCAGAGAATGAAATATTTTATTGGCTTTTTGTGCAATTGTATTATTAACCACTAGTAGTAGTACTAAATAATGAATATGCTATTCTATTGACAAAAAATATTTATGATTCACTGGTTCTGCATCATGACTACTTACATGCTACAAACCAGAATTTAACAATACTTTTACATTTAATTTATACTTAGTAAAAAATATAATATAGTCTGTTTTACTTTTGGAAGTACTTTGTAATGGACATACGATTTGGGGAGAAAAGCACTACCTGTTTTTGAAAATTTTTATAGTAAAAAACTATGAAAAGTTTTTTTAACATGTTTTTTTATTCTATATTTTATCATGTTCAGGCAAAGTAACCTGATAATTCATAAATACCTACATGATAAAAACTTGGTTAAAAAAGGAACAATACATTTATTATGTTTTATTGTCATGTTCCAGCCACTCGTCACTCGGCGCCAGACTCCAGGCCTCCGCCGTATTCGCCGCCTACTGGTCCATGGTACGCCGCGCCACCTCCAGCGTATGCGCCACCTCCACAGGGTTACTACGGATGGGTACCTCCCTACATGGTTAGTATAATATTAGGAACATAATGATCATCTTTTAATTAGCAGAATGTTCTCAATTATGTTAATATACATGATTGAGAACAGAACCCTCAGCATACCTACCCAGATATCATACTTTGGTTGTGAAATGTCATAGCTGGGCATTAACTCGTTAATCCGTTAATCGTTAATTGACGAAATTAACATTTTGATTAACGGATTAACTTTTAAGTTAACTTTTAAAAATGAAATGTTTAGGCAAGTATGAAATGACAAGTGCCGGGCGGCGCGAGAAACAAAAACAAAACTAGATTTATTTGGCCGACGCGTGCGAGTGAGAAAACTGCGAAGAACTTTTTTTTAGTTTTTTAAGTCCACACACGCAACGATATAAAAATGTAATTTTACAAATATTAACGGATTAACGATTAACTTTAACTTGCGTTAATTCTTCCGAAATGTAACGCTTTAACGTTTAAAGAAGCTCGCTTTAACGTTTAAAGAAGCTAACTTTTTTTGTAGCGGATTAACGATTAACGAAGTTAACTATTTGATTAATGCCGGTGCTCAGCTATGGAAATCTTTTGATTAAAATACTTAATTATTTTTTTTTTTTTATTGAGTGAAATTAATGCGTTCATTTACATTTGTAGGCATTCCCTGACCAGCCACCACCAAACTCAGTCTTTGTGTCGAACAACCCGCCCCCGTACCCTGGTGTGACAGGCAGGGCGTACCCGCCTGGCACTGGATATTCCGGCGTGAGCTCACAGGAGAGTCCGTCGCCCACAGGTGCAGCATTTTCGCCGGGTCCCTCCGCTCCCCCCGGATACCCTGGAGCCCCGGCTGGCATGTCCTCCAGTGGTGAGACTAATCCTCTTCTAAATTCCAAATTGAAACACACTTATTAATTTTCGTTCCTCAGACTTTGAGTTGAAACTTGAAACTTAAAATATTCAATCGGACAGGCCGAGGCTCCACTGTGAGTTGTTTTGTTGCGAGTGTATCTAATGCTTATTGAGTTACTCACATTTGAATGATATAGACTAGTGTGTTTAGTAAGTGGGCTTCTAGAGAACAATTAGTGTATTTGATATTGATTTATTTTTGTATTGTTTGCTGCAGTAGTGCCATTGTCGTTTTCAGATGCTAAAGCCGCGGAGGCTGCACAGAGCGCCTATTATGATCCCAACAGGCCTCAGACAGCGTACGTGCCGCCACCATACAGCGTAAGTACACAAACATAAACCATGATTAAAAATGACGTAATAGCCTAAGGTAAATTTCATTCAAACAGTATTTAAATTCAGATTGAGTATATTTCAAGCCCACTGTATTTAGCAAATACTTGTAACTTGTTTATAGTTGTATAAGCGAGCATGTTTGTGTTACAGGATCTACCGCCGACTTATCAGGAATCGTTGTCAAAGAAAGAAAATTAATGCACTGTCCACATTTCCAAATGCCACCAAGGCGCTCGTGTCTTAAGGCTCAAGATGAGTTTTACCTTCCGATGGAAAATATTTATGACGAAGGAGATAGTGACTAAGCTATAATAATGTAACATTCCTCTACCCCGGGAGTCGTAGCTACGCGGATATAAAATCATACCAAATTAATCGATGTTAAATTGTGCATAATCGAAATATAAATAAAATCTTATTTTTACATTATATTGAACATTTATGACTACGATTTGGTACGTTTTGCTGCTAAAATTTGTTATTGTTTATAAACGTGTTGTGTATAAAATGTATAAACAGTTAGATATTTTTCAATGTCGTCACTAGACAGAACAAGTTGATGCAGACCTGATGCAAATAATTTCTTGATATTTGTAATAAATAAGTATATTAAAAATATAAATGTATAAAACTTGGGCCTTGCATTGCTAGTGTGATTATTAATGATGTAGGATTCAGTTTATTTTGTTAAAAATATATTTAAAGTAAATTAATGTTAATGTGATATATTCATAGTAAAGTTAATCTCTATTCATTTTCACTGTTGTAGATAAGAATTTAATCAAAGTGTATTGTTTAAATAATTGCAGAGTTGTTTTAACGTAAATATATCGTAGACGACATATTAATCGTAAGTTATTTATTTTTTCCGTACAAAATTCAATGTACACAAAATTATAAGCTTAAATAAAGGCTTAGCTTGTTCACCTAAGTTTTATTTGATTCCATCCATTGTAATTTAAAAAAATAAATTATAGGCTTATAAATATCTAATATTTACTGAATTGCAAACATGTGGTCGATTGTGTACTAGAATCTCTATGATTTCCAATACGACCTAACTTTATACGAAGTCTAAATCTTTGTCGATGTTTTGTGCTCACTGTCCACGTGTAAAAAACAAGAAGATTAATAGCACATGTCAAGATTAAAAATAGAAGATCAAAAATGTAAAATCCGGATGTCAACAACAAAAATGATTAAATTAACAGTTTAAATAAACTATACCGATATGAAACAATACGAGTAACCCAAACATATTTCCGCCTTAACAGATTATGGGTAAGCATTCATAGTATTTGTGTATTTAGTATTTACAAGGTAACTTGAAGTAGACACTAATAACAGCTTTGTACAAAGAAGCCTGCAAATGTAGATTGATTTTTATCCATGAAAGAAGCCAGCCTCGTGTGAATATGACTGCCACTCATAATTAATTCGTATTTAATGGTAACAGACACGTGTAAATGTCATACAAAAGTTCAAATGCAGTGACAACTCGAATAAGTTTAGTCAACCCCTTGTGTATTACTAAGATTACGTAATAAATATGAGTTTAGTATGCAACAACTATTAGTGCGTTATGTTTTAGATAAATTATTAATTGCACGCCAGGCATTGAACTTTTGTACAAAGTTGTGAGTGCATTGTATTGAGGTGGTGAACAAAAGTTTATGTGAAACGTTTATAAGTTCAGTAAGGTATGTCGATGTTCTCGTAAGCTGATATTCTTAAAACGTGTTACTTGGTGATGTTCAATAAGAGACCACATTTTACTTTAGTTCCTCACCTCTTCAAAAGGATTGATTCTAAGAATATCTTTTTCTTTTAACTTTAGTGTAAGATTTTGAAGCCGGCGGAGAATCTGGTCATATTTCCAGAAGTACCAATATAACATGAACAAATATTGTGAGTATCACTCGTTCATTCGTGTTATACTTAGGTTACAATCCATGTAGTGGCTGCAGTTTATGATAGGTATTACAATTAGGTACCAATTAAATTATTTACACACCCGGTCTTTACGATTGCAGTGTTTTGTTACCTGTTTCAATGACTTTGCAGGTAAGTTACGTTTACTTTCTTTTATGCACCTATACGTAACTTGAGTGGCAGTTAAATTGATTTTTGATGCTGGCTTCTATTACTATGTTGAGATGGTATGCCATAACATTCGTTTCTTTTTATTTTCAGAGCAATAGTTGATTCGTCCCAATGGCGCCCTCTATGCATCCACCATGCACGCCATCTGCTTCTTGCACGCCGATACGTTGCCATCCCACACCTCCGCCATGCACAAATCCCGAAAAGTGTCTCAGAAAAACAACTTCAAAGGGTATAAGGCCATGCCGCAGTGCTGTATCAATTATGTCAACAAGATCAAGATCAAAATGTGGAACCTGTGGGAAATTTAACACTAAATGCAGCAACCCAAGAAACGTTAAAGCAGTTGAAAAGTTTTTGAAAAGGAAATCAAAAGAAGCCAAAATGAGGAAAAAAGATAGACTGCAAGGAAAACATACGTACTTGAAGTACACGAGAGGAAAGGGCAGTAAGAGGTCAAAAATTTCCTGTTGTGCCGGCAGGGGGCACAGAGGTCGACTGAAAAGGAAAAAGTGTTGTGAAATATTGTAAAAAACGTGTATGTTCATAGACTGGGCGAAACTTTTATCCGCTTATAATATAATATTACCTATTCAGCTATTTATTATTAATAAATGACAATAATTAATTATTATGAATTTTTACAAAATCAGTATCTGTTATTTTATTATATAGATAGTCCTCCCTGTTCATTCTCAATCGATTATGCCTAGATATTTAAAAGGAATATTACGGTTCGTGAATTAATGTACCTTTGCTATAACTTTTGCTACAGTATACGGTAAGATTGATTATTTATTAATAGTAATTATTATAACTGAACAATTTAATCGAGGCTGGCTTCTTTGATTTAATTGCTTGTGATATGATTGTTATATTTAGTTGTATTTTTATTATTTATTTGTCTTTCACAAAACTGATTCATATTTTTTGTTAACAGTATGAATGGTACGAATATGCTGCTGCCTTATTATCCTTGGTGTACTCAGTTAAAAGTGTCCGTACCACATAGGAATCAGAAAAGTCTATATACTGTACAAAAATGCCCTCGTTCTAAGGAAAGCGCTAGACGGTATCAACGGTGTCGTACAACAAAACTAAAAGCATGCCATAGCGCTGTGTCCCTATTGAAGAAAGGGGTTGGCGAAATAAAATCTGATTATAAAACACGTATTAAAAAAATAGATAGTGCCAGACATTTGAAGCCTGTTGAAATCTCCAAGCGTGAAAAAAGATTACAGGACCGATTAAAAACCATCGACGTCTTGAATGGCACACAGTATTGTCAACGTTATAATATTATGCGAAAACGACACAGAGCCAGACTATTTATACCAGATGGCCAACACAAGGGCCGAGACGACAGGAAAAGATTAAAGAATATGTCTAATTGTGTTATTTTGTGAAAAAGAAACCTCAATTATAAGACTGCTCATACAAATAAACTTTCCGAAATACAACTAATACACATAAATATTGTGGGCATTAAATTTTTGTGAGGTTTCTTGAAGATGACACTTCTTGCGTTAGTCTGTATAAAATGTTGAACCCCAACTATTATTTACTTACCAATGTTATTATAGAAATAATATTCTATGTTTGAGTAAACCCCGTTGTTTATTTCCAATGGTACCCGATTTAGAGTTACTTATCTTATCTTGTATATGATAAAAGAAATCCTTACAATAGTAAGTACACTCGGGAGCAAAGAAACTAAGCCACTAGTGTTTTCATTGCAATTATAATTATTAGCTATTAATGTATAACTTAAAAAATCCTTTTACAATAAAATTCTCGTTTTAAAGTTAATTCAATTGCCTTTTACCCGTCACACCTACGTTACCAATTCATAAAATAAATACTTTGATCAGAAAACTCCGTTTCTTTGCTCCCAAGTGTAATTGGAATTTAATTTAATGTTTGCACGCACACCTAAGTAGGTATCAGTTTAAACAACTCCATCAAAAATGTTTATAAAATAATTGCACAACCGGTTTTAATCCCGCTATTACACAATTTCTTATGAGCTGTCCAACGCAGCACCTCGAACTTTCAAGAAAAGACCGTACCAACTTCGTTTTATAAAAGTTCAGCATCGCATTTGTAACCATTACAGGTGTTCGTGGGTAGTGCTAATCGCTTGTCATAAAGCGAAAAGTTGGGATATTTCCCTTTATCCTATAAAAAAGTAGATTATTTTCATTTTTATTCAAGTATAATATGTATATAATTATTTGAATAATTAAAACTAGTACGTAAGATAGTTATTAATGCCGCTTGAGCTTATGCTATGTATGTTACAGCCGTGTATTCCAATAAGAGTGTAAAGCCGTGCGTATCGGCGCCGACATGCAGCGTCCATAAACATAGACCCCGACCGGCTCCCTGCCCACAGCCAGATAAATGTTATAAGAAATGTATCAAAAAGAAACGAAAATGCCCCAGTGCTATGGAAACAGTCAGCCGTATAGGCACCCCCTGTGCATGCGCCAGATTACAATCTAAAGACTCTAGACACTCAAAACACCAAAAGGGGTCCAAATGTTGTCGTTCAACGCATAAAAAAAGAATACGAAAAGCTTATAAACGGCGCTCAATGGAATCCCGTTGGCGTAGAAAAAAGAAATGTTGCGAGATATTGTAAATAAGACAAACATTCAAAATACTGACAATAAAAGATTTATCTAGATCACAGTTTTGTTTTTTTTAATATAGTTATAGTATCTACGTAGGAAGCCAGGGATTACTTATTGTTACTGATAGTAAAAATAGTGGCAATCGCATGAGTGACTCCGTAGCTATAGCTAGTATAGGATCAGGTTCGATTCCTGGTTCTAAGGGCTTAGTACGAGTTTGTTTTACGTTTATTGAGATGGATACGAAACGGTGTTCGGCGCTCTCATTGGTTCATTGGAGCCGGTCAACCAGTCTCGTATCGGTCTCGTTAATCATAAAACAAGGTACCTTCAGGTTGGCAAATTATTTACTATTTCAGTGTTTATTACGATTATCTAGATTGAACTGCCTAATATAAGGTTTGCAGTACCTACTTACTAGTACATATAACAATAGGCTTACCTGTATATACCAATTCATGGAGGTATTTTTATGTAGGTGTAGTGCGACAATGAATATATAGGTAGCACCTAGAATACCTACCCACATTTACAAGACTACTCCTCCTGTTTTTTCAGGAATGGAATCATGGACTACTTTCTTTTGATATGATATGGACAAAGACATGAATGACATGATTTTATCAACCTCGTTTGTCTTTCGTCCAATAAGTAGTTACCCAACAGGATTAGGGTCAACACCAACCAGGCGGTGTCATTTTATTCAATAAATATGGGACCTTAAAGCAAACAGTTGGAACTTACCTACATGCCCTTTACTGACGAGATGCTGCCTTTTCACTACCTTATATTCGTATTTTACATTTACAATTTACATTAAATTGCCTACACATTTGGTACTATTGTATAAAATTTGTAGTAACTACAACTTTATCATCTGAACATTCCGCACTGCTTGATGACCTTGCTGATCTTTTAAGATCATGTTTAATATTGTTGTAGTACAACAGTCAAACAATTTACAATCTACAACAGTTGTAGACAAAAATCAATTAATCCTTTGGAAAGATTTTTAATTATTTTTAAATATCCACGATAGATGGCGTTGCAAAATAGTTGTATTTTTTTGTGTAATGCAAATATTATTCTTGGTAGAACTACGAATACGAATATATTTCATTAGGTAACGTACTTAATGTGTAACAATAAGAAAAAATGGCACTAATATGATTAAATTTAAAAATAAT